AGTCCTATAACCTGCGAACACAGAAGGTGCGTACACAACGAACATTTTGCAAACTTTACAGTTTACAATCCTAAAGGCCACAATTCAGTTGGTACACCTACGAGCTGCTGAAATGCTGATCGAATCATCAAGGGGGTCGGATTTCAACTTAAGGAGGGTCAAATTAATTTCGGGGTGCCAAGAATACCCTGGCGGTTAGCACCCACCGCTAGAGGGTTCCAAAAATTACAAAGGGGGTCGGATTGTCACTTAAGGGGGGTCAAATTAATTTCGGGATGACAAGAATGCCATCGCGGTTAGCACCCACCGCTAGAGGGGTCCAAAAATTAAAAAGGGGGTCCGATTCTCACTTAAGGGGGGCCAAATTAATTTTGGGGTGCCAAGAATGCCCTGGCGGTTAGGAGCCCCCAGGTCATTCTTCGCAACCCAGGAGCCCAGGAGCTCTTGTTTCTAGCTCCCAGAGCTCTTGTCAAGGACAAAAAGATTGTTCCAGAGCCTACGGACATGCCTCAAGCGCCTTGGATGGAGATGGGTGCTAAGAATCGTTCAGACCAAAATTAGGAGCCACGTACACAGCGAACAGTTTGCAGACTTGAAAGTTTATAGTCCTATAAACTGCAAACACAGAAGCTGTGCACAGAGTGAACCGTTTGTAGACTTTGAGGTTTATAGTCCTATAACCAGCGAACACAGAAGGTGCGTACACAGTGAACATTTTGTAAACTTTACAGTTTACAATCCTAAAGGCCACAGTTCAGTTGGTACACCTACGCGCTTTTGAAATGCTGATCGAAGGGAATCCAAATACATTCAGAACAAAAGAATGAAAACAAATTGAATTACTCGGGGCGTTCGATCACTTTTTTTTTTGTTTTTTACGGCCTACACAGCTTAGAGCTCTGCAAAAGTTTCACAGTTTACAGTCCTAGACTGAAGCTGCGTACACAGTGAATTGTTTGAAACTTTACAGTTTAGAGTCTAACAAACTAAGAACGTGTACGCTGAATTCTTTGAAACTTTACAGTTTAGAGTCTAACAGACTAAGAACACACAAGTTGCATACACAGTGAATGGTTTGTAAACTTTGCAGTTTAGTTGGTACACCCACGCACTGTTGGAACGCTGACCGGAATTCAGGAGGTTGGAGGGCATCTGAGCCAAGGTTGTTTTTAGCTAGCCGGACAGTGTCATGTGCCTTGTGCAGCCGCATACGTGTAGCACAAATTATTTGTCAGAGTTTGGAGGGCATCTGAGCCAAGGTTGTTTTTAGCATGCCAGACAATGTCATGTGTCGGCCGGCTCGTTCCCTTAATGCCACCATGACTGTATAAAGAAAAGTCGAAGTCGGTAGGATGACAGATTGCCTAGTTCACAACAGTGTCTGGATCGACATTTCGTCCAAGATCGAAGCCCTCGCAACAGTTTGTGAAGGAAGCAGAGGTTGGGCATCAATACATCCTGCAATGGATGGAAAGAAAGTGGTGAAGCACAACGAAGCATGCAATAATGTGAAGGTTAGTGAAACTAATAAGTTAGAACCGACGAATCATCAAAAGACATCATTTTTTTTAAATCCTTCTCTACAAAAGGATGCGAGGGGTCCAGAGCAACTGAAACTGATCTTGTGCAGCCGCATACGTGTAGCACAAATTATTTGTTAGAATCTGGAGGGCATCTGAGCCAAGGTTGTTTTCATCTTGGAAAGACGTGATCGACCCAACATGGTGGAAGATGATGGTGCAAACATTCTTTCTGTTCTGGAGGCAGTTGCTCAGAAGGTAGAGCTTAGAGAGGCAGGTCCTCCAAAACCACAGGGTTCGACTTGCTATAGCGAGGTGTGTGCCTAGACTCCTCGATATACGGTGTCTAAAAGGATGGTCACATTCTTATATTATTCTTGGCAGAGATCGTAATATAGGTTATCGTGCCTCTGACGTCGCGGTCAGGGTGTCGAAGGCATTGGACAATGATTTAAATGTAATACTTTGTGTTGGCAGCAGTGGAGATAAAGAGGAAAACGACGATAAGGAAGAGGAAGAGGACAAAGAGGATGAAGAGGGTTCTTCTAGAGTGAGGGCTGGGTAGATATAGTAGTTCGAGTGTTGGAAGGCGAAAACCTTTGGAAACCAAGACCGCAACCGATCCCGAGTTTCACGTGTGTGCCCTTCGTCCAACACAAAAACTTTGTAACCACCGGACAACAATCTCTGCTCGTCAACTGCGTCAACAGTGCTTCCTTCCTCCGGGTCGATTAGACCAACAAAAGGAAGAAGACACCCAAAAGGGTTCTTCTTGAGCGAAGCGGAGAGGGAGCTGTTGGGAGACAGCGGGTGATTACCCCTTGCCGGAATTGAGTGGCAGTGTAAAAAAAAAGTTGTGTTTTTACTGCTGACTGCAGTGGATTAAAATTCAGGATAGATGCCCACAAAATGGTTTACTGCTGACTGCCGTGGATTAAAATTCAGCAGTCTGGAGGGCATCTGAGCCAAGGTTGTTTTCATCATGCCGGACAGTATTATATGCCGGCCGGCTTGTTCCCTTAAAGCCAGCGTGACTGCATAAATAAAAGTCGAAGTCGGTAGGATGACAGATCCCCTAGTCCACAACAGTGTTTGGATTGACATTTCGTCCATGATCGAAGCCCTCGCAACAGTTTGTGAAGGAAGCGGACATTGGGCATCAATACATCGGGCAATGGCTAAAAAGAAAGATAAACCCTGATGTCATGAACTCAACGCGAATCATCTTTTCAGACCATATAACAGACCAACATTGGAATGTCTTTTCAAAGGTCCAGAACATTGATGGGGACAAGAACGGATGTGGTATGATTAACAGTTACAAATGTGAGTTGTACTGCTTGCAAATTGTGTAGGACATGTGAACTGTACTGCTTGCAAACTGTGTAGGACATGTTTGTCAAAAAGGCCATATGTAGAGGACTCTAAGACATTCAAGGGACTAGTTTGAGAGCAACAATGCGTTTGGTAGCGATTTGAGACTGCTGCAAACAAACCATTTCGAGGACGGACCAGAAACAAGACTGTGACACCACCCGCCAAAGTGATTAACAGAGGACTAAAATCATTCAGAGGCTGTAGCTCAAGCAATGGGAATAATTAGAAGAGTACAATCATTCACAGGTTGTAGGGCGAACAACGAGAACGAGTAAAGGACTCCAACAATTGAGACGGTCGCCGTTGTCAGGCCACGATTCCAACAGCGATACTGAGCAAAACCAGGACTGTGGCACGACCCGCCTCAATTATTACAGGACTACAATCATTCAGATGCTGTAGCTCGAACAACGAGAATGATTACATGACTAAAACAACTGAGACGCTCGCCACTGTCAGGGCATGATTCCAATAGCGATAGTGAGAAAAAGCAAAGACCTGGCAGCATGCTTCGCACAGAGCAAAGGACCACAATCATTCAGCTGTCACACCGAGCAGAACCACAAATGTATCAAACGAACTATTTTGACACCCGAAGAAGCGGGCAGGAAACAACGCAGCGGAGCCAGCCACGCCCCTGTGTGTTCAACCAATTCCCCAAGAGAAAATAGAAAACAAATTGTTAAGTCAGAATAGAATTCGGAACAAATGACAAAAACTCACTCAAGACTTATATCCTTGAAACCCGAAAGGAAAATGACACAACAACCGCCTCAAAAAAGAGAAAAAGAGAAAAAAAAAAAAAAAAAAAAANATGCGTTTGGTAGCGATTTGAGACTGCTGCAAACAAACCATTTCGAGGACGGACCAGAAACAAGACTGTGACACCACCCGCCAAAGTGATTAACATAGGACTAAAATCATTCAGAGGCTGCAGCTCAAGCAATGAGAATAATTAGACGAGTACAATCATTCACAGGTTGTAGGGCGAACAACGAGAACCAGTAAAGGACTCCAACAATTGAGACGGTTGTCGTTGTCAGGCCACGACTCCAACAACGATACTGAGCAAAACCAGGACTGTGGCACGACCCGCCTCAGTGATTACAGGACTACAATCATTCAGATGCTGTAGCTCGAACAATGAGAATGATTACATGACTAAAACAACTGAGACGCTCGCCACTGTCAGGGCATGATTCCAATAGCGATAGTGAGCAGAAGTAAAGACCTGGCAGCACGCTTCGCACAGAGCAAAGGACCACAATCATTCAGCTGTCACACCGAGCAGAACCACAAATGTATCAAACGAACTATTTTGACACCCGAAAAAGCGGGCAGGAAACAACGCAGCGGAGCCAGCCACGCCGCTGTGTGCTCAACCAATTCCCCAAGAAAAAATGCAAAACAAATTGTTAAGTCAGATTAGAACTCGGGACAAATGACAAAACCTCACTCAAGACTTATGTCTTTGAAACCCGAAAGGAAAATGACACAACAGTCGCCTCAAAAAAGAGAAAAAGAGAAAAAAAAGAAGAAAAAGAAAAGAGAAAAAAAAGAAAAGAGAAAAAAAAAAAGAGAAAAAAAAAGAGAAAAAAAAAGAGAAAAAAAAGAGAAATGAAAAAAAGACAAATGTTCGCCATCAAAATAGGAGTACAATGACCACTGGCGGGTAAAAGTGCTAAAAGTGCTAAAAGGACAAGAACCAGTACTAGTACAACAGTGGATCCAGGACCACGTCACAACAAAAGCGGGTAGAGGACTACATCATATCAAAAGTGAACACAGGACTACATCCCTACGACAGTGGAAAAACGGCTTGATCCAAGCGTCAGTGGATCCAGGACTAAGGACAAAACAAAAGTGCGCACAGTCCCCGATCTCAGATACAGAAGTCTTTCACAGTGGGTGTAGAAATCTGAGAAGCGAAGTAGGACTACAATAAGCGACGACGACAACAACAACGTTCTCGGTCTCAAATATAGTTCTATAACAGAAACAAACGACGACGACAACAATAGCGGTCCCCGATCTCAAATCTAGTTCTATAACAAAAACAAGTTATAGAACTATATGCGCCCTTGCTTATTTCCGCACACGTGGTCGAGCATTGCTGCGCAAACCCATCACAAGGAGCTGACCGCCTCCTATCCTCCGATCTTTCTCTTACGACCTCGTGTTTCTGCCCCTGTGGCCTAACTTGAGTCCTGGCTTCATGCCAGCTGCTCCTCAGGAGGTACTGCCACGGGCGGTTCCTCACGCTGGCCAGATCCTGCCGGCAGATTGGCTTCGGTTGCAATCAATCCCGACATGGGCTCCCATGTCTCCTGCGTCATGTCCTGGCCGGAAGCCTCCGTCGTCGTGGCTTCCTCAACATGTCGCTCTTCCTCCTTGAGGCCGTGATCCCCAGACACCTCAAAGTCCGCATCAGGGTGCTGTTCCTTCGACTTGCCCTTCCCCTCTTTCGGCTTTTCTCTCTGCAACGTCCCTTCGAGGTCAGTGAGCAGCCTCATGCGGATTCCCTTCGCACACCGCCTGTCGAGCTCCACGACAAGACAGTTCCTGTTCGCCATCACGCAAGCAACGGCCCCCGTACCGGCGCCCGAAAAGTCGTCCAAAACGGTGGCGCCTGGTGGAGAGAACTTTGTGACCAACCAGGAATATAATGCATAAGGTTTCTGGTACGGACAAAGCACCCTGTCATCAGCCGGGTGCACAAACTTTCGCGTGACTGCATCAAAAAGTTGGAAGTTGTGGCGGGGATCGGTGGGAGCGAAGTTGTAATGCGTCATCTCACGTTGGCCTGTCACATTGTAGTACCCCAGAACGCAGAACTCCGTCGCGCTGACAAGTCTCGGGCCACCGGGATTCGTTGTGTTCGGCTTGCACCACGTGACAAGCTCTTGACCAGCATTGCAGATCTTTGCAAACGCGGACCTCACTGAGGATAGCATGTCCACAGAGCAGAAAGCAGCGACTGTCCAGAGCGATGCGCTCGAAACCTCCTTGACATTCTCGAGCACAGCGACAATGTCACTCTCCGGGAATGACTTCGTGTCACGCGCGTGTCCTTTGTGCGCAAAGCCGTAGGGCAAATCGAAGATGGAAAGGGAAATCGGCACCTTGTCCTTTTGCAGCTGTGCCAAATGCAACATATCGCCTTGAATGACCTTGACCTGCCCTGAACACCCTTCGTACTTCACGTCAGTCCAGTCCGCGAAAGGGTCGTCCAGGGAATGCACCCGTAAGAAATTGTGACTCGCTCTTTGTGCATCTTTAATCCTCTTGTCTTCCGTCTTCCTCCACTCCTTCGCTCGTTCAATGTGATTTAGCAAAGCAGTGGGTTTAGCCCCTCGCCTCTCAAAACTCCCAATGAATGGCTCGAGAACCTCTTGGTGTGCAAAGGATACAACTCCTCTGCGGTTTTAAAGTCTTTGCATTTGACACCATCGCAGAAGGCCTTTGCAACGTAGCCAAACTTCTTCACGACCTTGAACTTCCTCTCCATCTCTTCCAGGGAGATCTGCTTGGACACAACTTCTGTCAAGATGGGGATGATAGCGTCATGCAGGATATTGCCCATCGTAATCCACGGTTGCGCAGGCATGTCAGCCGGGGCCGAAGCAACTTTGTTGTCCTTCAATTTTAGGCGAGGATTGAAGAACGCCATCTCTTGCTGCTTTGCGACAGCCCTGTCCAGCTTTCTCGCCCCGTGTTTTTTCTTGCCACCCTCCGACTCGCTGGACTCTGGAGCGACGTCTGGGTGGATCTGACTTTTCGCAAGAGGCTTGAGTTTCTGGTTCTTGACCTCCCCCTTCTGCCACATCTCAAAAATTCGCAGTTGCAGGTCCCGGATCTCTTTGGGACGCATCGCGATCTGCAATAACGGGTCATTATTCTACAGCTTCTTGGTAGAACACGGTATGCCGAACTCCCTCAGGCAGGCCAACTTCACCTCAGCGTTCTTTACAGACCCCATTCTCTCGAAGATGTTACCCCAACATTTCATCTTCTCGATGAAGTTCAAATCTCTGTGGTAGCCAACTGCCGAATTGTGTTTGTGACCCACCTGCCTCGCTTCTTCCGTAGTCAGGCCCGCATAGACATAGCACACATTCCATTTGTAATCCTCCTTGTCAGGGTAGATCTTCTGCAGGCGCTCCCTCGCCTCCCGGCAATGTCCACCTCCAAGAACATATATGGTGTAGCCACCTTTGCGCAACCGGGCCAGATCCACGTCCTTCTTATCTTTCACCTCCAACGGATCGACGACACCAACAAAGGGAAGATGATCTCCAGTCGGGCAAGTAATCATCGAATCCATGATTGTGGAAACGTGGTCCTCTTCGGGCTCCCGAATCTCGAGTGGCCTGTTTCCCGTTCCATCGTCCGACGGTCGTCGCAGACACGACATGGGCAGGTAAAAAGGCTCTTGGGAAATTTTCTTCTCCTTTAAACTCTCCAGCTCGTTCCAGGCCCGTGTCAGCTCGTCGTTGAGTTCGCCGGGAACAAGACCTCGAGGAACTTGAAGCTCGTCTTGCGGAGTTTTGCCTTTCCCTTTCGAAGACGCCGCAGCTTTCGGCGCAGGTACTTTCTTTTTCGGAGYTTTYGGCTTCGYACCCAGCTCGTCTTGCRGAGCTTTGCCTTTCMTTTTCGAAGACGCCGCAGCTTTCTCYGCAAKTACTTTCTTTTTCGGAGCTTYMGGCTTCGTACCCGAACCTTTCTCCAGARCTGYCGAGGACTCGACACACRTMTGCGGGGAGACTACAACTGGAGGAGGCGTTCTCCGCTTGCCTTGCTTCGTTTTCGACGGGCCAAGGGTCGACGTCGGCTTAGCGATCGGGTACCTGAACGGAAGAAGCCTGGTCTTAAGACGTGGATCCAAGTATTCACCGAGCTCTCCAATGAAAACCTGCACGAACAAAAAAACGGGCATTGTGGCATGTCAGGACTGCTCAGTGGTTATAGGACTATAACAGTTTAGGGCTGCAGCAAGAACACTCTGCACAAGCAACAGACCGGGACAGGATCTCAGAGATTACAGAACTACAATCACTTAGCAGAAACAGTACTGCTCAGTGGTTATAGGACTATAAGAGTTCGGGGCTGCAGCAAGAACACTCAGAACAAGCAAAGGACTGGGACAACCTCTCAGCGATTGTCGAACTGAAACCGCTTAGCAGAAACAGTACTGCTCAGTGGGTATAGGACTATAACAGTTCAGGGCTGCAGCAAGAACACTCAGAACAGACCGGGACAGCCTCTCAGAGATTGTACAATTGAAACCGTTCTGGCATGTCAGGACTGCTCAGTGGTTATAAGACTTTAACATTTCAGGGCTGCAGCAAGAACACTCAGCACAAAGAACAGACCGGGACAGCCTCTCAGAGATTGTAGAACTGAAACCATTGTGGCATGTAAGGACTACTCAGTGGTTATAGGACTATATTAGTTTAGGGCTGCAGCAAGAACACTCAGCACAAGCAACAGACCGGGACAGGATCTCAGAGATTACAAAACTA